TGCCTCCGGGGTTCAAGCAATTCTCCTGCCTCAGCCTCCCAAGTAGCTGGGACTACGGGCATGCACCACCACGCCCAGCTAACTTTTGTATTTTTAGTAGACACGGGGTTTCACCATGATGGCCAGGATAGTCTCAATCTCTTGACCTCATGATCCGCCTGCCTTGGCCTCCCAAAGTGCTGGGTTTACAGGCGTGAGCCACCGCACCCAGCCATGACTTCTTTTCTTCTGGGTAGATACCCAGTAGTGGGATTGCTGGATCAAATGGTGGTTGTACTTTTAGTTTTCTAAGGAATCTCCACACTGTTTTCCATAGTGGTTGTACAATTACATTTGGCCATGAATTCAGCTGACACTTGTCAAATGTCTGTTGAATATCATGCTTGTGCTAGGTGCTGGGCTTACCCTAGTACAGCAGACAGCCTCTGTCTTTAGTACAGCAGAAAAGGCAGATGGGAAATAAGGTAGTGAACAAATAAAGGCAGGATGCACACCAGGTACAGCGATAGAAAACTGCAGGAGCGACCTCCTTGGAATGGGGGTTAGGACAGAGGTCTTAGAGGTGACATTGAAACTGTGATCAGAGGGTGAGAGATGTCAGCTCATGAATAGAAGCCTATAGGTGGGAAAGCACTTGATACCTAGGAAGAGACCCTTGTGACCCTAAAGCAGCTCTGCCAGGTGGGCGGGCACTGCCTACGAGACCAAGGCCTCAGTTCGAGAGGAGAGTCACGAGAACAAGGAAGAAGCAGGCTCAGGTCTGGCCAGCATGGTGACTGGCCTGATGGTTTCCTCTGATCGGATTTCCATGCTGTTGCATTTTTATTTCTGATTCTAGAGAGGTGGGCGGTGGTGGTGTTCTTTGAAACCAATCAGTGTAATTAACCAGCCTGTCCTCTGCCTTTCTCCCATAGGTTGATATGGGAAGTCTGGATGCCTTTTGTTCGAAATATTGTCACTCAGTGGCAGCCAAGGAACTGTGACCCGATGGTGGACTTTTTGGATAGTTGGGTGCACATCATTCCTGTGTGGATCTTAGATAACATACTGGACCAACTCATCTTCCCCAAGCTGCAAAAGGAGGTGGGGTGAGAGTCACAGGAACAACTGTCATCACTAACCACAGGGACTTGTTCAGTCTATGTCTTCATTATCTCAGTGCTGTTAAAACGCCTGGAATTAACAGAATTTGTCAACACAACTGTTGACCTAGAGTGTTAATTCCAGCCTTTTTCTCAGCACTTTTCCCCCCAAGCCACCCTCAGGAGGGAATTCATTTTCTTGATTTCTTCACTAAAATTAGAATTATGCTATTTCTGAGAGGTAATCAAATGAATGGGCATATTTGTTTGGCGATGTACAAAGGACCATGGGCCTTGGAGAGCATGGGGCCTCCTCCAGGGGCAGCTCTTGCCTTTAACCACACGGGTGTTATGTGACTGCCCAATAGGCGACATGAAGTGTTTCTTCTGTTTCTTCTCCCCACGTTGCAGGTGGAAAACTGGAACCCGCTCACAGACACTGTTCCCATCCACTCTTGGATCCACCCATGGTTGCCCCTTATGCAGGCACGGCTGGAGCCGCTCTATTCCCCCATCCGTAGCAAGCTGTCCAGTGCCCTGCAGAAGTGGCACCCCAGTGACTCCTCTGCCAAGCTTATCCTCCAGCCCTGGAAGGATGTCTTCACTCCTGGCTCCTGGGAAGCATTCATGGTCAAAAACATAGTGCCCAAGCTGGGTAAGGATATGGGGAAAATGCAGTCCAGGCCCAGCAGCTTTGGTGCCCTGGTTTCTGTGGTCAGTGGTGATTTAAAGCATAGCCTTTGTATTCATGAAAGTGCTTAGTACACAATATTCCTTGCTGTTCAGAGGCTGAACATAAATGTAACTTGGGTCCTTTCCGCTGTTTGTTTACAACAGCGACTAATAGTTGACAGTAACAACATCGGACTCTGTGCCTTGTGGTTTTCCTGATTGGCTTTGGCTTCTGGTAACAGGACAGCCATTGGAGTTCTGAAATTTTTGTGGTATTTTATTCTAAATTATTAGGGAGTTATTTCTGGTTTAGCAAAAAAAAAAAATATATATATATATATATTTTTTTAAGAATTGCTATGTCAGGAGCTTAAATTTGACCTTTAAAGCAGATTAAAGCCTGAGCAACATGGTTAAACCCCATCTCTACCAAAAATACAAAAACTAGCCAGGTGTGGTGGCATGTGCCTGTGGTCCCAGCTACTAGGGAGGATGGCTTGAACCTGGGAGGCAGAGGTTGCAGTGAGCTGAGATCTGCCATTGCACTCCAGCCTGGGCAACGGTGAGACCCTGTCTCAAAAAAAAAAAAAAAAAAAAAAAAACCGCCAGAAGCCGTGACTCATGCCTGTAATCCCAGCACTTTGGGAGGCTGAGGTGGCAGATCACCTGAGATCAGGAGTTTGAGACCAGCCTGGGCAACATGGCAAAACCCTGTCTCTAATAAAAACACAAAAATTAGCCGGCCGCGGTGGTGCACACCTGTACTCCCAGCTACTTAGGAGGCTGAGGCACAAGAGTCACTTGAACCCAGGAGGTGGAGGTTGTTGTGACCTGAGAGGAAAATGGACATTATCTTTGCTCTTTGTGCTTCTGTGGCTTTGCCAGTACTAAAGCTGTGCCTTATAGACCGGGTTTCTCTTCCAGGGATGTGTCTTGGTGAGCTAGTCATTAACCCCCACCAGCAGCACATGGATGCATTCTATTGGGTGATCGACTGGGAAGGGATGATCTCTGTCTCTAGTCTGGTGGGACTTCTTGAAAAGCACTTCTTCCCCAAGTGGCTTCAGGTACACTGTTTTGCTTGGCTTTCTGGGGGAGGGAACTGAGTGGGGATTAAGTTAATTTTCTGCCGAGGCCTGACTGTAGGTACAATTCCATAATAAAAATGAATTACATGGTAGGGTAGGAATGAGTTAGGTCATCTTAATAGTGGCCACCATTTATTGGACATTTGCTACGTATCAGAAGCTGTTCCAAGCACTTTATTTGCTTTATCTCAGCTCCTCGCAGCAACCCTATGGGGTAGGGGCTATGGTATCCCTGTCGTGTAGACATGGAAGCGGAGCTCAGAGAGTTTACATGCAAGGGCACTTTAGCTACCAGGCTGACTCCAAAATCCATATTCGTAAGTCCTAGACTGTTTAGCTACTATAAATCCCTGTAAAGTGGTGTCACTAGCCTGCAGGACCAGGATCAAAACAAAACAAATGGCCCCTTCGGAAATCTTGCCTTCATTTGTTGCCACCATGGATGCAAGTAATTTTTCTTTTTGGCAGGTGCTGTGCTCTTGGCTCAGTAACAGCCCAAATTATGAGGAGATCACCAAGTGGTACCTGGGTTGGAAGTCTATGTTCTCAGACCAAGTGCTGGCACATCCATCTGTCAAGGACAAATTTAACGAGGCACTTGATATCATGAACCGGGCGGTGTCCTCCAATGTTGGTAAGTGAGGATTCCCATTTTGGATGTCCTGGCCCTGAGTTTCAGATTTTACACATGTAAATGACACAGAATCAGAGTTTTCTGGTTCCTGTAGGCAGCCTAAACCTTAGGTCGCACTTTTGCCCATAGCAACAGACTCTCACCCTGCTGATTGGGGTACATGGTCAGCTGGCACCCACTGCCCAGGTCTACCATGACTGAGAGGGGCATCTTCCCTAAGGAGACTGACTTAAGCTGGATTCAGATGTCAGTCTAACCCCAAGCCCCGCCCTCTTAACCACTGTGCTGTGTGGCCTTTTAAGGCTCATTCAGCCCTGAACCCGCTGCCCAGGTCACACATCTTACAGTGTGGAGTTGGGTACACGGTCTTACACTTGGTGATTGCTCAGCCTTCATCAGCCCCATTTGACCTGTTAAACAGTAAGATCTACTTCATAGGCTAAAAGGGGGATTGAGTTCATGCTTGTTTGCAGCCTTCAATAGGTGGTGTCTGTGTTGTCAAAAACCGGCAGTTCACTCTTCATGTACTATATCTATTCCCAAGTTCTAGGCAAGTCATTCTGCCTAGATCATAAGTAAATGAAAGTATATTTATGTTTCTACATTTGGGAGCCTATTTCAACCAGTCGTGTGCTCCAGTGTTGCTCATTAGCCAATTCACAGCATTGAAATGGGATCATCTAGTCTGTTTCACAGATAAGCCCAGTGAGGCTAAGAGCCTGTTCAACGTCACATAGTTAAAGGGTGGCAGTTAGAACTAGAATTTCTATTTCCTGAGTCTTTAATTCTTGTTATTTAATAGTTAGCCTAGGCCAGGCGCCGTGGCTCATGCCTCTAATCCCAACACTATGGGAGGCCGAGGCGGGTCAATCACGAGGTCAGGAGTTCGAGACCAGCCTGAACAACATGGTGAAACCCCATCTGTACTAAAAATGCAGAAATTAGCCGGGCGTGGTGGCACATGCCTGTAACACCAGCTACTCAGGAGGCTGAGGCAGAAGAATCACTTGAACCTGGGAGGCGGAGGTTGTAGTGAGTGGTAGAGATCACAAGCACTGCATTCCAGCCTAGGCGACAAGAGAGAGACTCGGTCTCAAAAAAAAAAAGAAAAAAAGAAAAAATAGCCTATTTTGTGAAAACAGAGATTAAGTAATAAGGCAAATATACTTCTCTGCTTCCGTAATTATCAAGTTCTTTCTAAAAACTCTTCCTTAGCTACCCCTGGCCTCATGTTTCCAAAACTCTTCCCTGTATATACCCCTCAGTGAGCACTTAGCATTTATGGTCTTGTATTATCCTTAAACACCAATTTCAGCTCCTCAAATATACGTGAACTCCTTTCAGGATGTGGGGCCTGTGTGGGTAGGTTAAAAATAAAGCCAGTGTGGGCCTATATTTTCAAGGTACTAAAAGCTGCCTCTTTGGTGGTATGAAGTGGAAACTCTACAGGGCAAGGTGGAAACAGGAGAGTGGCTGAGGACTCTGCTGTTTCCAGCTCTGAAAGAAGAAATCCCTTGCAGATACTTCATTTTTAAATGTTGAATATTTAATAATCTCTTTGGTTACTAGATACTAGCCAGAAACCTTCTGAACAGTTTTTATGTGATACTGGCCAGTTGTCTAAACTTCCTCCAAAGTTGTATCTTTGAGGCAGAACTGCCCTTCAGTGAGTCACAAACACTCTGGCACACCCAGACCTGGGCCAAGTCAGCGTCAACTTCCATACACCTGGAAACACCTCTTCTCACTGCCCTGTCCTCCTGTATCTCTCAGGTGCCTACATGCAGCCAGGCGCGCGGGAGAACATTGCCTATCTCACCCACACGGAGCGGAGGAAGGACTTCCAGTACGAGGCCATGCAGGAGAGGCGGGAGGCTGAGAACATGGCCCAGAGGGGCATTGGCGTGGCCGCCAGCTCTGTGCCCATGAACTTTAAGGACCTCATTGAGACCAAGGCTGAGGAGCACAACATTGTCTTCATGCCCGTCATTGGGAAGCGACACGAAGGGAAGCAGCTCTACACCTTTGGCCGCATTGTGATCTACATCGACCGGGGAGTGGTCTTTGTCCAGGGCGAGAAGACATGGGTGCCCACCTCACTGCAGAGCCTGATCGACATGGCCAAGTGAACTGTGGCAGGCCCAGAGCCAGCCAGAGACTTGCCCCTGAGAGGGATGTGTTGTGAATAAACGGTATTTTAGATCACCTTCAAAAGCGTAACTTCTTTACTCGGGAGCTACTCCACATTGGGCCAGGTCACGAGGGAAGCATGTAAAGCGGGACAATGCCACTTAGCAGTGCAGGAATCTTTATACCAAGTCCTCATGGGGGGTATCGTCCTCAAAACAAGACAGCCAAGTTGATGTTCTTTCCTGGCAAAGGAGTTCTCTGTAGTTCCTCCATGGCAGCCTTCCCTTTAGTCTCCGGTGGCAGCTTCTACCTCAGCCAACACTGAGTACCTCACAGTGAGTTCAGTCAGTAGTGGAAGGATCTTCTGTCTTGTTCCTGATGATTTCAAGGTCCTCACAGTCCTGATAATCTGGTTCTTCCTGAAACTCCCAAATATCTGTGGAGAGCTGTTCTAGCTTTTGCATGGGGAACCAGTGGACAGAGGTGTCATTAAATATGTCCATGTATTGTGAAGTCTGAGGAAACTCAAGCTCCTCCAGTCCTTTTAAAATCTGAGCAGAAAAATTCAAGTGTGAAAACTTTAGCTAGTCACAGTAATCCCCACTCTTCTGGGAGAAATTTCCATTTTACTTGTCATCCCCACTTTCCTTTTTAAAAAAATAACAAATAGGATATTTCAGTTTAAATGCTTTTGCACAATGAATTGGGCACCCCAAGGACAGTGGGTATCATGGACTGTGATACTGAGAATAAAAATAAAGGAAATAAGGAAAAAACTAAGAGATGCATTAAAGAGTCATAGCTTTCTGGAACACAGACCCATGGAGAGAGCTGACAGTACACTAGCGCCACTTAGCCCCTGAGTTTCCTCCTACGCCTGTAAAGATAGAATTCTTCACAGTTTCACACCCTTTTCTATCCCAGCCCCTTTATTCAGATAGATACCTTTGCAATGTAGGGATAATTTTTCTGCAGAATCCTTGCCAACAGCCTAGAAATTTAAAAAAAAAAAAAAAAAAAAAAAACATGATTAGGAGGTATGAGGATAGTTTCATTCAACTTAAGACACAGAAGGGCAAGACGATTGAAGTATAGGAAGAATTCAGGAAAAAACTCGAGATGTGGAGTAAACCAGTTAAATAGTTGAAAATGCGGGCCAGGCGCGGGTAATCCCAGCACTTCGGGAGACTGAGGCGGGGTGGATCATTTGGGGTCAGCAGTTCAAGACCAGCCTGGTCAACATGGTAAAACCCCATCTCTACTAAAAATATAAAAATTAGCTGGGTGTCCTGGTGCACATCTGTAATCCCAGCTACTCATTAGGCTGAGGCAGGAGAATCGCTTGAACCCAGGAGACCGAGGTTGCAGTGAGCTGAGATCACACCACTGTACTCCAGCCTGGGGGACAGAGTAAGACTCCATCTCAAAAGAAAAAAAAAAAAAAAAGCAAATACTCCAGTAATTGTGCCCATTTCATCAAGAGAAATGACTGAGCAGACTCCTAAGCACTGTGAAACAGAATGAGGATGTGGAGCTGTAGGCAGAGGAATCAAATAGCTTTTCCCTGTTTTCAAAACCATTTCTGTGTATCACAATGGAAGGGAGGAATTCGTGGCAAAAAGACTCCTTAACTTGCTTCATAGCTTGAATCAGGGTTTTGTTTTTTGTTTTTTGTTTTTTTTTGAGACGGAGTCTCGCTCTGTCGCCCAGGCTGGAGCGCAGTGGCCGGATCTCAGCTCACTGCAAGCTCCGCCTCCCGGGTTCACGCCATTCTCCTGCCTCAGCCTCCTGAGCAGCTGGGACTACAGGCACCCGCCACCTCGCCAGGCTAGTTTTTTTTTTTTTTTTTTTTTTTTTTTGTATTTTTTAGTAGAGATGAGGTTTCACCGTGTTAGCCAGGATGGTCTCGATCTCCTGACCTCGTGATCCACCCGTCCCGGCCTCCCAAAGTGCTGGGATTACAGGCGTGAGCCATCGCGCCCGGCCGAATCAGGGTTTTTTTTTTTTTTTTTTTTTTTGGCGGAGTCTCGCTCTGTGGCCCAGGCTGGAGTGCAGTGGCCGGATCTCAGCTCACTGCAAGCTCCGCCTCCCGGGTTCACGCCATTCTCCTGCCTCAGCCTCCCGAGTAGCTGGGACTACAGGCGCCCGCTACCTCGCCCGGCTAGATTTTTTTTTGTATTTTTTTTAGTAGAGACGGGGTTTCACTGTGTTAGCCAGGATGGTCTCGATCTCCTGACCTCGTGATCCACCCGTCCCGGCCTCCCAAAGTGCTGGGATTACAGGCTTGAGCCACCGCGCCCGGCCCGAATCAGGGTTTGACATCTCCTGTATTTAAGCCTTCATCCCGTTCCCTATGGAAAAGCATTTCCCCAGTATGGAATCATCAAGGAAACGTTTTCTGTGTATAGGTCAATCTGAGGTATGGGCTTCACCTCAGGGCCTGACAGAATCTCAGCATTCTCAGACTTACCTCTCCTCAAGTCCTTTGAAACTGTTCCCAACGATGACCATCTTAGAAAGGGCATCTACTGACCAATTACTCCATAAAAGATTGTTGTACAAGGCCGTCCCACAATGGAGCATGTAAAAGATGGTAGGTTCCCCGCGAATACTCCGTTTCCCTTCCTGGGGATACGATATTCACAGGTGTCAACATGCTCACAACCTATTATTTACAGTAAGGTGAGGGAGAGGTAAGGATGGGGTTAATCATGAGACAAACTAAAGGATCAAATGGAAAAAAGCTCATTTTGTGGAACAGTTACACTCGAATATGAAATCTATACAGTTACAGAACTAGAGTCAGGAAATCATGATGTCCCGAAAGAACTCACGTTTACTTAACAAATGTGTGTCTCATGAACACAAAGTCTCATGAACACTAACAGAGGGGCTTCCTGGGTCTAAGACGGCAAGGACAGGAGGGATAGTGATGTTACTTACCCCATGTATTTCCCCCATGTTCGGTAATCCACACTTCCCGTGTCAATTCCTGCAGATCTATATAACTAAGTCTTCTTCCAATGTCCCTGAGGCACAATCACCCCTCCTGAGAACCACTACTCTACGGCCAAATTCTAGCAGGGAACATAAGGGCCTTTGACCCTTGCCCACCTCTGGCCTGCCTCTCCTCTTCTTGCAGCTTCGCTTGTGTTAATAACAAACTGGCAGTGGTTTCCTGAACAGCCAGCACTGCACAGCTACCTGCAATCCTGGTTCTGTCCCACTAGCAAACTCCTGGTAGACCTTCAAAGCCCAGCTCAGACCCAGGAATCCTTCCTCCATCCCTCCAAACACCTCTCTTGTCTCAGCTCCTAGTACAAGGTTCTGCCTCACTATTTCACTCCTCATTCACTTGTTTACAGGTCACATGCCCTGATGTGACCACGGGCTCCCTGAACACTGGGACTGGCTCCCATTTTTTTTGGTCTCCCCAAAGGTTCCTGCCTAGCACAGAGCAGGCACCCAGAAAGATGATCTGAACTGAGTGACAGTGTTTTAGGACCTTGCCAATATCAGGGAATGACTCTTCTCTCAACTGAGCCAAATTTTCACATAAGCAATAAGATGGCAGTTTCAGGACACACACAGGAATCAAATGATTCTAATCCCCAAGACAATATAAAACCGAAATCGGAAGGATTTGCTCATACTGGCTTTGGCCCTGTGCTTGAGAGATGCATTTCTTTATTCCACAGGTCTCAGAAATGTCAAATCCCAGCTATATTGGGGCGTGCAAATGTGAGCAGAGAATTAATCCACAACTCACAGCCAGGTGCTATGGGTTTGACTGGGTTATAGCATCAAAGAGGAATGCTGCAACCCCTTTTATTATCTCCCTGGGACAGGGTAAAATCCAACCAGAAAGACGTCGCTTGAGGCACCTAGATTTTTATTTTTCAATAGCAACAGCAAATACCAAGTTAGCATAATTTCCAGACAAATAATTCTCACAAAAGTGGTTCAGACCTAACGTGTTCTGGTTCATGCCATCTGTGTAATTTTTTTCTGATGGGCACAACACAAGCCAAAATTTAGGTAACTGATTGGCTGGTTACATCGTTCAGGCACTACAAAAGTGAGCAGGCAGTAAGAGAGGAATGGCTGCCACTGCAAAGAATGCTGGTGTTCACAGGCAGAGCCTGGGGTGAGTCTGGTCAGGATTTTTATACTCCTGTCTGCTCCCCTTTAAACCACTTACCTCATTCTCACTGAGAACAGTCACACCAAGGGTGTTCAGTACTTCAATTTCAAGTTGGCTAAACAGAGGGTCATATACCCAACAGTGACTTCTGGGAATCTAGAAGGGAAGAATGAGTTGTTTACTTCAACCCAAACATCTGTGTGCACCCATGTATAAGACCAGAGGAGGAGGAGATGAAAATGAATCCAAAAATGTACCTGGCACTTTTCCAACAAAAGCAGCAAAAACGTTAGCTGGTTTCTAGCTATGATGCAGGTGGCAAAGTTCCCAATGCCGTAACACACACACTTCAAATGGCACGTTCCTGTGACCAGGGTCTCTCTTGGGATAGAATCAGGGGCCACATCTGACTCATCTGGCAATGAGTCAAGATGCAGGTTTCCAAAGGTGTCAGAAAGAGACCCCACAGGGGCCTTCAGCTGTTCCAGATGTTTTGTGAGACATCTATTGATGGTTTCTGAAAGAGCAGGCCCCCAAATGCAGTTAGAGGGCATGCTCTGACCCTGTGAACCAAATCATCCGCAAAAGAAGTTCACAGATTTGGGGAGAAAGAGATCAGGGCAGTAAAAGGTTTCAATTCTTCAGAGAGAGAAGCTGCCGGTCTCATTCCCAAACATGCCTGGACATATAGTCACAGTCACCAACTGACAGGCTGTCCTGGCCCCTGGACTCCCATGGTCCAAAACCAAAGAGCATGTTGCAAGCAGAAATTGGGTTTCACTCAAGGGCAGTTTCCATCTAAAACTATAATGTGAACTCATTCTAATTTAACAAGAGGCTCCTAGTAAATGTAGACTATGCTCTGAAATGCGTACTTTTAAAGTTGTAACAGACCAGGTGCGATGGCTCATGCCTGTAATCCTACCACTTTGGGAGGCCGAGGTGGGTGGATCACCTGACGTCAGGAATTGAAAGAGCAGCCCGGCCAACATGGTAAAACCCCGTCTCTACTAAAAATACAAAAAATTAGTCGGGCGTACTGGCGCATGCCTGTAGTCCCAGCTACTTGGGAGGCTGAGGCAGAAGAATCGCTTGAACCAGGGAGGTGGAGATTGCAGTGAGCCAAGATCACACGGCTGCATTCCAGCCTGGGCAACAGAGGAAGACTCCATCTCAAAAAAATAAAGTTATACTCTGTTTAAGTCTTCTCATGTAGAGGTAGGTTCTCTTGTCTCTCCTTTTATTGTACTGGTACTGAATTTAGCAAAACAAAAAAAAGCCATGCATTCCAACAATAAGATACCAATTTTTCACTTAAGAAACCAGCAAAGGGTCGGGCATAGTGGCTCACACCTATAATCCCAGCACCTTGGGAGGCCGAGGTGGGCAGATCACTTGAGATCAGGAGTTCAAGACCAGTCTGGCCAATATGGTGAAACCCCATCTCTACAAAAATATAAAAATTAGCCAGGGGTAGTGGCGCACACCTGTAGTCCCAGTTACTCAGGAGGCTGAGGCAGTAGGATTGTCTGAACCCAGGAGGTGGAGATTGCAGTGAGCTGAGATCACACTCCTGCTCTCCAGCCTGGGTGACACAGTGAGACTCTGTCTCAAAAGAAAAAAAAAAAAGCAAGCAAGCAAGCAGCAAAGATATCTTTAAATAAGACCCCAGGCCAGGAAAAACGGGCTCTTCAGGTCAGTTTTGATAAAAGAATTGGTGAAAACTTTTTGGATAACCTGACAATAGATATCAAGTTGGTCACCATCTTTCATTTAATTCCACTTCTGGGAATATATCCTAAGAAGATCACCCTAAGTTTGGTAAAAGCTGTTTGCATAAAATCGCTCATTGCAAAATTATGTATAATAACTTAAAAAGGCTGGTTGTGGTGGCTCATGCCTATAATCCCAGTGCTTTGGGAAGCTATAGGTGGGAGGATCACTTGAGCTCAGGAGTTAGAGGCTGCAGTGAACTATGATTGCACCATTGTAGTCCAGTCTGGGTGAAGAGTAAGACCCTGTCCTAAAATAATAACTGAAAACCAAAGGAAGAAAACTCAATGTCCCACAATAAAAATGTTATCTATGGTATGTCCACTCCATGCATAAATATTATGTGGCCACCCACACACTATGTTTAGGAAGAGGTTATCACTGCATGAGGAAAAGGCTACATTGTAATATCACGGAAAAGGAACAGGATAAATATAAATTTCAGCAATAATAATGACAATATTTATTGCCTTGTATACAGCAGGCAAGCATTTAACTAAACAGCTTCAATTCCCAAAACTACAGGATATACACATTATCCCCATTTCACAGATAAAGAAACTGAGGGTCAGAATTAAGTGCCAAAAGACACACAGATAGAAGCGGCAGGGTGGGGGGATTTAGAACCCAGCAAGTTATCCCTCTGTGAAGCAAAATGTCCTCAAATGAGGACAGATCCTCTTTTCTGCCCCATAATCCCTACCCTTGGCCAGGTCATACCCACCTAGTGCTGAACTCCAGAAATCAGAGATAAACAGGTCCTTCCTGTTGAGAAAAAAAAATGGCACAGTCATGTCCCATCCATTTCAGGGCTGCCCCAACAGTAACTTTCCTGATCATGACCTGAATGCATAGAGAATGAGGTGCCCTGCAATGCAGGGCCCACCCTTACCAAGTGATAAGAGGGGAATATATGTTGAATATGTCCAGAGCCAGAGCACATACTGCTGGGGCTCAGAGACTGCAGGAGAGAGGATGCTGGAGGAGGTCCCTGATTCCCAGAGAGAGGTCTGGGTTTATTCTCGCTCTACAACAGAGCTTAGTATAGAATTGCAGCTCCATAAATGGTTGTTAAATGCTCAGAATTAGCCTTTCTGAGCTTTAGTTTCCTCATCTCTAAAATGGGGATAAAAATCATTCCCGCCACAGAGGAGTTTAGAAGCATAAAATGGGTTAACATTCTTAGCACAGTGTCTGACACACAGCAGGTGCTCAACAAATGGTATTTGTTATTATAAATAGTTCTAAGGGGAAAGTAAAGAGACAAAACCAAGTGTCTGGGCTTTCTTTATTCAAGTCAACTGGTTTTACAGACCCAGAGCAAAACAAAGTCAACAGTGAATTAAAATGAACTGGATTTGAACTGACAAGCCACAGCCAGAGACAGTGATTATGGGTTCAGAAAGGGGTACAGAGAATTGGAAGTCGGCCCTGAGGCCGCTGCACGTTTCTCACAGAGGGTAAAGGAGAGAGTTCTGACGTATGCAGGAATGTTTTATGAACTGGTAAATGCGTACATAGATAAACGCGTAAAATGCTGGCCCAATCTCAGAGCGATGGTGATTGCACCACACCTAGGTGTTGGGAGAAGCAGGGAGCTCCTGGGGAATACTGAAGCAGTTGAGGAAATCGTGACGATGTCAAGGGATATGAAAAATGCCTTGAGTTCTCCAAGCCCCCAGCCACATTCACTCTTACTGGCACCCTCTGAGAGCTTAAAAAGAATCGCAGGTGCTTTTTATTCAGGCTGAGCCAAATGGTCAACAACTTTCTCTTCGGAGGTAAACTCTGGGACATTGCTGCCTCTTGACCCTAATTCTAGTGGAGAGGAGCACACAAAATTAATCTAATATCTGCCCTTGTGATGGCCCTTCAGATGCTGATCTTAAGTGCTAACTAAAGCTGTTATGTATTGAGCCTAAAAAGAACTGCAAATAAAGGTAATAATACCAAATAACATTAATAGGTAACATTTGTGGAGTGCTTCCTCTGCATTAGGCACTCTCTGTGTACTTTCTAAGGTATGGAGCAAGGTATGTGAGAATCTGAGCTGGGATAAGCAACCAGCATAATGGAGAGCTGGAAGCACTGGTTTTTGTCACAAAGACCTGGGTTTGAAATCTGGTTCCACACATTTTCTTTGTCTGAGAATCACTGAGCTACCAGGGTCCTAGCGTGCCTGCAATGTTTAACATAAAGTGTGCAGAATGATTAAGCTAGTGTCAGGCACATAGCAGTTGCCTGATGATAGCAATCACGTGTTCGTGTTGCTTCCCTTATGTTGCCACCACCAGTAATACCAACATCGGCATAATATTAATAGCAAACATTGGCACAGTGCTTATCACGTGCCAGAAAATGGTTTCCGTTTACTAATTCACTGAACCCTCAAAACAAACCTACGTATGTACTATTTTCATCCCCATCTCACAGATGAGAAAACTGAGGCACAGAGATTACAAATTGTCCAAGGTCACGCAACTGTAACCGTAATAACAGGGAAGGCAACCTTTAACTGAGCGCTTACTATAATCCAGATCTTTAATGAGCTCGTTACCTACGTTAAATCTTCACAATAACTCCTTAAAGGGTGTGGCTTATATCGCCATTCTACAGATGGGGAGACTGTGGCTCAGAATTGTCCACGGGCGCAAAGATTCCATCAGGGCCCACCCCGCACTCACTCAGCCTCCCAGATGCGACGAAGCACGACTCCGCTGTCAGACTCGAACTCCGCCTTGGGACTCCGGGGCGCCGCCTCCCTCCGCCGCGGCCGTCGAGCCGCCGAGCGCCTCTTCCGCGGAGCCGCGGCCTGCCAGGATTCCAGCGCGGTAGCTGTGGCCGCAGCCATTGGTCCCTGACGTCAGCGGCGCGCGGCTCACTCGGCACGTCATCACCGCGCGCCGGCTCGCCAGGAGCAGGAGGAGGCGGTAGGCGGGGCGGCGCATGACCTAAGGCCTCTCTGCCGCGCGCGCAGGTACGGGGCCGGAGTCGCAGGTGTCCAGCTGCCGCCCACATTTCTGTTCCAGAGTCCCGAACCCCGAGCACTGGGATGCCTGGCTACTCCGGTGGGTGGGCGGCACTCGGAGGCGCGGGGATACAGAGGGGCGGGCCCCCAGTCTAGAGCGTGACCCGACCCCGCCTGATCTTTAGGCCTTCGCCCACCATTTCCCAGTCCCCTGGAGGTGGGGCCAGACGCCGCACAGCCCCCGTGCTGTTACCCATCGCTGCCTGCGCCCCGGGTGCTGTGGCCAGCAGCTTCCTGGCCCTTCTCCAGCCATTAGCGTCCGTTTTCCAGCCCTGCTGCTCCACTGAGGCCCCTTCCCACAGCACTATCACCAGCCCCTCCCCCAGGTTGTTACTATCACTTCCCAGGCTACCAGAGCCTTTTATGCTTACATTCTGTCCCTACGCCAGGGCCATTAGTGGTCTCTTCTGGACCTTTCAGAGATAAGAGAGGACCTCGGTAGTGGAGGGCCCAGTCCTCTGGAAAGAAGGGATGGGGAGTTTTAGGCTGCTGTCTTGGTTCCAGGAACAGAGATACCCCTTCCACAGGCACCCAAATATGCTCCATAGAGTACAAAGAGTATAGTCCTATGGAGGCCCAATCCAAAATATCTAGAGATGAGAAGAGAGAGAGATTTTACAGGCCGTCAAATATTCAAGACTTTAACAGACTGTATTTGTGTACCCATAGATTGCAGAATGGTGAGCAAGCATTTGAGACCATGTTGCTAGGGCATTAAGCTTAGATAAAGTGACAGTAGGAATGAGACAGTAGTTTTGAAGTGACCAAGAGGTTGTCACATGGAAGAATTAGACCTTGTTTTGTGTTTTCCTGCGGAGTGTTATCCAGGGTAGCGAGTGGGAGGCAGGTGTAAAATATAGAACACTGATTTCAGTTTGTTGGAAGGAGAAATGTAACGTAGAGAACCACGTATTTCGGGAGGATGTAAAGCAGAGACAGCCAAGTTAATTTTTGGAAAAGAGTGCAGGAGAGTAGAGTAAATGATGCCAGGGTTCCTTCCGACTCTGAAATTCCATGATACACTGAGCTGTCTTTCTCTCGTGGAAGTTTGAAAGCCATTTGATAAAGTTCTCTTCATTTTTTAGAAACTTGCCCCGCTCTGGAATTCTGCATGTTCAGTTTACTTTTGGACTGTCAAGATGATAGTTCCTTAATTTGGGTTCCATTATTAGCACAGCAACTGGTTTATTTGTATAGCTGTCCACACCTGGAGCATTTTCACCCTATCCTTTGATTTTATCTTCTGTGAAGCTTGTGGTGTGTTTCCCTTAACTGTTCAAGAGACTAAAGCCCTTACTCTGAAGTCTCTGCAGCCCTGCCTCTTTGATTTTGAAGTATCATTGTCACCCTTACAGAAAGCTCTTTTGCTATATACCATTCGTTAAATCCTGCTAGGTCACATGCTCTCTCATGAGTTTCTGAAATATCTATTCCTTGTGTTTATTTCAGAGCCAAGGCACTGATGTTTGAACTGGAAACTTCAAAACTTTTAATAGAATCTTCACGATGGGTTTGAGCTGGACAAGCTAGAAATTTCTTTAGAACCCCAGCTCTAGCATGCATCTCCCACGTTTGGCTTTCCTAGAGAGGAGCTTGAAGTGATGGTTCTGTAGACAGCCACAGTGACACTCAGGAAACCAGATGAATGAATTTGACTTTTCTGCTAGGACTCTCTTTGTTATAGTTTTTCCCTGAGTTGTAAGAGGCATAGAAATATACAAGAAACTGAAGAACCTGCGAGGAAGGGAAGTGGTACTTTCCATGCTGAGTGAAAACTAACCAAGTGGCAGTGGTGACTGAAAACACTGAAACCTGCCACATCCAGATTCGCTGGATTGGGAGATAAAGGAAAGGTAACAGCTGGGGAGAAAGAACTGATACTGGAAAAGAAAACCTAAATGAAGAGGATGAGGATGACTGCAAAGTAGATGGCCGCCTCCACCTCCACAGAGACCAAGTCAGCCTCGTGGTGAGTAGCAGGGCCTGCCATGGCATAGCTTTCGCTGGGCTGTTAGATAGATTTTTGGGGTTAACATAACAAAATACCACTTTCCTCAGAGCAGCTGAATCAAGCACATGAGCCATTTCTCTCCGAAGCTAACGTGTTCTAACCTTGCAAGCCTCTCCCAGTGTTTGAATGAGTCTGGCATTGCTGGGAGATTGTAGAAAAGATAAGCCACAGCCTGATTGTGCAGCCAGCTTTGATGATAATGTGGGTATTGTAGTCTTTAATTTGCAGAGATGAGGTATGGTTGCAGTTGAGAATTACACCGTGTGGAAAGGTTTGGCCAGATTGGGTATTGAAGGGTATTACTCAATGTCTGTCTGAAACCCAGTTCCCTTCTCAACCCTAAATGCGTTAATCCTTTCCCATAATTAAGTTTAGCAAACATCAGTTGTGGAGGAGATGAAGGTGAAAAGCAGGTTTAACTAGAATTAGTAGGATTTAGTGACTGATTATTTATGTGGAAGTCAAAAAGATGGTGCAGTTCAAGATGACACTCAAGTTTTCTTTTGTGTGCCCACACAAGCAGGGATGCTTTCACCCAGAGAACGTGGGGACAGGGGAGGATGGGGTGCACATGGAGTTTCTGAGTTGGCTTTGAAACTTTTTTGAGGCCTTTTGATCTGAGCTTACTCTGCAGCCAATTGTACATCCAGCCCTAGGTATTGGGAAAGTGGACAGTGCCAGAGACCAACTTGGTGCTTTATTTATTTATTTATTTTTGAGACAGAGTCTTGCTCTGTCGTCCAGGCCAGAGTGCAGTGGCATGATCTCAGGTCACTGTAGCCTCAAACCCCAGGCTCAAGTGATCCTCCTACCTCAGTGTACCAAATAACTGGGACCACAGGCTCACTCCACCATGCCTGGCTAATTTTGTCTATTTTTTGTGGAGATGGGGTTTCACCGTGTTGTCCAGGCTAATCTTGAACTCCTGAGCTCAAGCAATCCTCCTGCCTAGGCCTCTCAAAGTGCTGGGATTATAGGTGTGAGCCACTGTGCCCAGCCAAGTTGGTGCTTTTTCATCAGGAAGGCAAGGTGGGAGCCATGGAGGGAGGCCTCAGAGAGGGCATAGATCCAGGGGAGAAGAGAGCAGATGACAGATTGGTCCCATTGCTTCTTTATGTTACAGTCTCATAAATGTGTTCTCAGAAACTTAGAAATAAAACAGGTCCAGCCAGGCGCGGTGGCTCACACGTGTAATTCCAGCACTCTGAGAGGCCAAGGCAGGATTGTTTGAGTCCAGGAATTTGAGACCAGCCTGGGCAATATAGTGAGAGTCATTTCTACAAAAATTTTTTTTAAAAGTAGCTGAGCATAGTGGCACACTCCTGTAGTCCCAGCTACTTGGGAGGCTGAGGCGGTAGGATGGCTTGAGTCTGGGAGGTCGAGCACTGAACCACAATCGCACCACTGCACTCCAGCTTACAGGGCTACAAAGTGAGACCCTGTAAAAACAAAACAAAATTGAGGCCCAGCCTTTGAAGTGTTTGTTTTATGGTCTTAAAGAGGTAATCAGATAATAACATTAAGTAATATACTGCAGTGTAGTCTGTAAGAGTCTTTGAGGAAGAACAGAGGGTCATGGAAATTCAGAAGAAAGAGATTATCTCTGGGCCGAGGGAATCAGGAGACGGTTAATGAGGAAGTGTGCTTGAGTGATACTTGGTGAGGTTTGGCATGGTAGAGAGGAGTTCACAGTTTCTCTGTAAATTCACAGGCCCCGTTTTCTCCCTGTTACGGACTTATGGACTCACTATCCTGCATTGAAACTGCGTATTTGCTCAGCAACCACCAAACTCACTGTGGGCCCTCAGTCGGTGTTTAAGTGAATGCATGAATTCCTGGTAGAAGGGCTGTTTCTGGAAATCTTTATGCTCAGCACTTACGAGGAGTGCATCTAATACATCCCTAACTTATTTTGTTATCAGAGCCTTAAAAGACAGTGTATCAGACCATGTGGTTGTATAGTTAAGGTTCAGTGTTTCAAATAAGAGCAGTCATTGTGGGCGCCTCATTTTTTTTCTAGCTGCTTATGTCTTCTCTGGCAGATGGTCTAACGGCTGGATAGAGGCATATTTTTAGTTTGAATTTCCTGCGCTTACAGAACGTTTTTATCTAATTTGTAGCTACTGGGGTTCTTTCTTCTCTGGGGCCACCTGAAGGCTTTCAAACACAGTAATGAGCCCTCCTCAGGCTGGGAAATAGGAAGCTATGTTTTAAATGCCGTGATCACTGGATGAAAGGAAACATGGCTCCATTCTGTTCTCTTGCCAGGTGGAATTATTTTTTTCTTTATGATGGTTCCAAGGTAAAGGAAGAAGGCGACCCAACAAGAGCTGGCATTTGTTATTTTTATCCTTCCCAGGTAAGCCACACAGCATTTTATTGTTCAGTGGGGATCCCAGTGCCTCCAAGTGATAACTTTTCAAAAGTATAGGGTTTACATTAGGACAGTTTGGCTAATCCAGATAATGACATTTCTACTGTCTTATTCTTAGTTGTACTATTTCTTGTTGTTCTGGTCTTAAAATTTCCAGGCAGCTCAGCACTTTCATTGTCTTTAGCTTTCTATTTCCATCATGATTTTTGTCTGCCTCCCTCTACCCCCAATTTTTTGATCAGCTCAGTTTTTAAAAGTTAGTATTCAGCTGGGCACGGTGGCATATATCTGCAATCCCAGCTCTTTGGGAGGCTGAGGTGGGTGGATCACCTGAGGTCAGGAGTTCGAGACCAGCATGGCCAGCATGGTGAAACTCTGTCTCTACTAAAAATCCAAAAATTAGCCGGGCGTGGTGGTGTGCTCCTGTAATCCCAACCACTTGGGAGGCTGAGGCACGAGAAT